ATCACAATTTTTTATGGGTAAATCAACTATAAATGGCCATTTTCAATAGCTATGTATGTTTACCAGAGGGTAATTCGAAAAGCATCCCCTAGCAGCAGAATTGCTGTGTGGACGAACCCCTCCACTATGGCAAAAGTTGCGACCGCAGTGGGAACATCTGCCCGAAAACCCTAAATATTGGTGGCGGAAAAATCCATGGAAAAACACCCTCCAGGTCTCCAGTAAATGGCCCCTTCCAAATAACCCAATCATTTCGTTGATAAAAAATATTTAACTTCTTAATATTTAGATTTGGTATATCTTATTGAAATGCAAGGGAAAAAAAAAACGGGTCCCTTCCATCCCAATGGCAACTTCAATCTTTTTATTTCGTCTTCCTTGATTTCGTTGCCCCTTCATTCACCTCAGTCAACTCGCTGAACGCAACGCGTTACGCAGCGCGCGTTCAGCGTCGGGTTCCTAAGGTTCGGGCCTCTCGGGTGCGTTTCCGAGTGAGCGCCTGCAGGTCGAACACATAACACACAGATAAATAAATAAATATATAGTGTATATATATATACACATAGTATACCCCCCCAAAAAAAAGATAAAGCAAAACAGGACTACAGTATGGTGGTAAATAACAAATAGGTGTTTACTATAGGTATACAGAGTATACAGTAATGTAACCAGCAAATTTCAGCCCATGGCCTCCGGATCGGTGGCATACAAAGGCAACTCCGACCTCAGAACCCGCGAATAAGTGCAGCCAGGATGTTCATACTTATGATTTCATATGAATCCATTGTGTTCGTGTCTCTACATATCTATATCTAATACACACATGTGTGTATGTATATATATATACATATATATACAGACGTATCTATATCTGCAGATATATATATATATGTATATTTGTATATATGTGTGTGTACTTATCTGGTTGGTGGTTTCAACCTCTCTGAAAAATATGAAAGTCAGTTGGGATGATTGATATCCAACTGAATAGAAAAACAAAATTCATGTTCCAAACCACCAACCTTTTTTATATGTCCACAAGGTTGACTGTAAAGATGACGGTCTCGGAAATCACTTTTCCAGTTTTTGGCCATTAATTCGAGCGACTGCTTCTTTTTTGGGCAAACCCAAGTGGCATCCATATGCTGTATGATATTTCGTTTACAAATTATCCGTGGAAAACAGTGTCACATCCTCTAATCAATCACATCATAAATTGAGAAAGACTCATCCGTCATCATCTATCGTGTTCTGTGTAAATGCGCATGTGCTTACAAAAATATATATATATACAATATATAAACAGTATATATGATATACATTAGTGTTTCCGAAAATTGGGTGCCTAGAACCATTGGTTTCTGTACTATTTACCACAAGAAAAAAACACTGACGAATTGGATGACTTGGGGTACACCATTTGGGGAAACCCCGAAAATTCAAATTGCTGGTCCAAAACCATTTTGTCACACAAAAACCATCCCGCATAGATGGTTCTATCATGTTCTATATATCCCATGAATCATGGAAGTGTCTCAGACCATTGAATCATGGCCATCTCCGGTGAGACTGCCATCTGGTAGATACCCTGCCATTATAGTAGCAATGGTCAGCGCATCATGACCCCAAGTTGTTGGTTAATGTCCCATGACATCTACGTCGCTCCCAACACCACACAAGGCGGGCGAACTGGGTAGATGTGTCCACTCTTTTCCCCAAAAATGGCTTGGAGCAAGCCTTTATCCCACTACACTTGGCTAGCTAGGAGAAATCAAAACAAATGTGAGCCAGTTGGGGTTCCCCAACATAACCAGGTAGGCTCACTCTCAACTCTTTCATAGCCAATCAGCACTAATGTATCAATGACATCCCCATGTTCTATGGTGGTATGTGACCCCCATTTCATCACCAACCAACCATCATCTATCAATAGCATCCCCATATCTTTGATGCTTAAAAACGGAACACAAATCAGATTTAAAATTACTTTACTTCGTGTGATCCCCACCATGACATTTATACATTTTGTTGCTGGCATATCTTCTGGCATTCTATCTGACATATCTTCTGGCATTCTATCTGGCATTCTATCTGGCATAGCTTCTGGCATTCTACCTGGCATATCTTCTGGCAGATGTCCTGGCATTCTATCAGGCATATCTTCTGGCATTCTATCTGGCATATCTTCTGGCATTCTACCTGGCATATGTTCGGGCATATCTTCTGGCATTCTATCTGGCATATCTTCTGGCATATTATCTGGCAAATCTTCTGGCATTCTATCTGGCAAACATTCTGGCACTTTATCTGGGATATCTTCTGGCATTCTATCTGACATTTTATCTGGCATTCAATCTGGCATACCTTCTGGCATTCTATCTGGCATACCTTCTGGCATTCTATCTGGCATATCTCATGGCATTTTATCTGGCATATCTTCTGGCATTCTATCTGACATTCCATCTGGCATATCTTCTGGCATTCTATCTGGCCGTTGAGGCCCAGCGGTGCACACTGAGCTGGGCAGGTCCCAGGTTGAGGTCCAGCGGTGCACACTGAGCTGGGCAGGTCCCCGGTTGAGGTCCAGCGGTGCACACTTAGCTGAGCAGGTCCTCAGTTGAGGTCCAGCGGTGCACACTGAGCTGGGCAGGTCCCCGGTTGAGGTCCAGCGGTGCACACTGAGCTGGGCAGCTCGCAGGTTGAGGTCCAGCGGTGCACACTGAGCTGGGAAGGTCCCCGGTTGAGGTCCAGCAGTGCGCACTGAGCTGGGAAGTTGGCGAAGAGCTTGGCGACGAGTTGGCAAGGTTGGCAAGGCGGAAGTGGAGGTGGAAGAGGCGGAGGCGAGGAGGAGGGCGAGGAGGAAGAGGAGGAGGAAGAGGCGGCGGGCATGCGCTCTGATAAAATCTAACAACCCTCACCTGGCAGGTGGGGAAAAAACTGGAAAATGTTAAAATCTTATCGAATCATCAATTGATGGTTCAGCTTCAAATCCCATCAATTGCTGGATGAAATCCCCTTGGAAAATTCACCAAAACCCACCCAACCAGGCGCTTCTCGAGCCAAGTTGCGCCGCCAGCCTTCGAAGGCGAAGCCGGAACTGTCCCAGATTCGCATCCTGCGACGGTGACAGAGACGGCAACGGATTTGAAATTGGGAGTGGATGAGCAGCGCGGCACGAGAAAAAAAAGAAGCAGCCACTCAGCCACTCAGCCACCACCACCCCCGAACCCCGCCCCACCCAACCCTAACCCCAAACCTAAAGGTAACCTCACGCACTGAGCCACTCAGTCACTCTACCAGAGTGGCTGAAGTGAAATTTTCGCCAACGCGCACTCAATCGTAAAGAGTAGGACTGAAGCACCCAAATTTGGGGAACAGAAATATAGTGAAATGATGACTCATCAACTTGTCTTTACGATGGACGCTGAACTCCTGGCTGAAAATGATAAGCTCAAATGAACGACCAAAATTGGGGGCGGGATAGGGGTTGAAACGAGGATACCTGCTTTATCCAGCACAATGTTGAGATAGATCGCAGGAAAAGGGAAGATCTACCATCAAAACCATCAAATTAGATACTGTAAAATTAGATGTAACTAGATATAATTTACTTGATTTTATGGTATTTAACCACTCAAGTTGGGCACATCATTTGGAGATGAAGCAAGAACACTTGAGAACGCTCAAGGAATCAACTCAATCATGGAGAATCTCATAGGTGGAAGTCAAGGAGCACCCCACCAATGACAACCCCCAGGGCTTCTGGTCCCTAATAGATAGGGGTTGATGGAAGTCAATAACCCGAAGGCCTTATTTCGCGGGGGGGACCATAGATTTCTGGAAGATACGCCCGGTGGTTGCTGGTCGATCCTCAAGGCACCTGTTTGTCATCCGACGCAGGTGATGGAAATCTTCGAGACGAGACGCCACCAATCCAACCAAAATAATGCATGTATGGAATGTAATGCATGTGTCGCACGTTGTATGTTGCAATGTGATGCGATGTTTTGTCATGGTGTGTTATATGTGGTGTTTGGTCTCTGTATATATGCGATGATTTTCATCGAAGGAGAGCCCATGGGGCAAGGAATCCCTGATGATCATCCCCCAGTCAAGGGATTAATCATATCCAATCCAACTTTTGATTCTAGCTGCTTATATAATGTTATACATCCCATGAAATACCCACATCAATACCCAATGAAATCATTAAATCCTCATGTTCTATGGTGTTTCTTCGAACTAACTTGATTACAAAGCACGTGTAAAAAGCATGTGCAAACCATATCAAACCTAACTTGACCATGGTTAAAAAAACATGCGCAAACCATATCAAACCAATATGAAACCCCGATGTTTGATTGTTAAACCATCCATTTATGTTCCCTCAAACAGTACAAATCGTCCGGGCTCCAGTTTTCAACTGAGATCCACGCTCTTTCGGTCCAGGTCATGATCACCTGACTGTCAGATCGTCGAGAAATGTCGCGTCCAAGCAAGATGGATTGTATAAATATCAAGATCATATCTGATCAATGATTTACCATTTGAAAAAGCAAGCATTTTATGGGGATCTGCTAGGATATATTGGGATATAATAGGGTAAACAGCTAAAAATTGAGAGACTGATCTGAAATTGAGTGGTCAATGGCCGTTGCAGGTACCTAAATTTTCAGTACCTACCATTTTTGATGGTTAAATCATGTTAAATCCACAGTGTTCAAAATATTCAAAAAACCCATTAGATCCTACGAATCCATGGTGCATCGCAAAAAATCTCACTGCAGCCTCCATGAAGGAAGTAATGGCTGGGCGAAGGTCAATCTGAAGAGATGGATGCCTCGGGAGGCGGTCCGGGGGTCCGGTCCGGGGCTCCCTGCAAATTGTCCCATAGACTCTGGGTCTTTGGGTAGTGCCCCATGGTTTTACCGAAGTCCGGGATTACCCTCTGGTGCCATCGGCTGGGACATCCCCGAACTAGCCATGGAGGTTTATAGCTGGGAAAATCATCGAACTAAATCGTGGATTTCCATTGCTACGTTTGATTGCCCGAGGGCAATGTATCATGATTTTAGTGCGATTTGACTTTCCTATCTTCTTTGGGGATGCCAAACTCATCGGTGCTCATCATCTCAACCGAAGCCCTGCAAAACTTCCCCCAAATCAACGACCTGGACGTCAATGTCAATGACCACTGAGGCCGCAACGCTCCAGCGTCTGGTGTGAATTGCATGCCTAGGAACATCCCACACCTCGGTACAGCACGGCGCCACGCTGGCCGCTGGCCGATGGCCAGCCGAAGATGGCCGCTGGCCGAGACACCCCAAAGGCCACTCTGCGTCACTTTCGAGCAGGTCGTACCTGCGGGGAACCAAGTTGAGCCAGATACCCTCTGGTTGTCAAAATAGCCATTGAACATGGCCATATATAGTTGATTTTCTCATGAAAAATTGTGATTTTTGTTACATTGCTATTGAAAATGGCCCGTCGAAATCGTTGATTTTCCCATGAAAATTGTGATGTTCCTTAGTTATGTAACAGTTTACCAGAGGGTATTTGGCCAGATTCGCCCAGTTTGCCAACATACCACATCACAATACGCTGCTGGGGATCACCTCAACTTCTGGCCAAGTGATTTCCAATCGATGCGTCAACCACGCCCCAGGTCCGCTGAGTGCTGTGCTGCATTGGGTTGGGGTGTATCCTCATCCCATTCACGATCTCCAGCTGCATCACCAGAATGCGGAGCTTGCTCTCGACCCATCCACTAAACCTGGACGAGGCGGTTGTCAAACGAATCCGCCCAAAAAATCGGCAAAGGGTCAATCAGGGGTCAATCTTTGTGAATATTTCACTTGTCAACTGAATCCACAAATCCAGGTGGCGCCAAGCTTGTTGCGACCTGCTAAGGCCCAAGCTTGTTGTACACATCTTCCGACTTGGCCAGGATCTGTCAGGGCCAACGCTAGGCCGCTACGCCGCGACGCTTGGCTGCTACAGGGATCACGCCTCGATCATAAGGAAGTTCTTGAACTCTTGGAAGAAGGGGAAGGGCGCATAGACCTTGACATGGCCGGGAAAATCCGCTCGAATTTGAGGGTTTTGGGGGACATGTCCATTGTCATGTTGAATGCCCGAGGGTATCAGTTTTTTCTCTCATCTTTATGGAGAAAACGATGATAAACCACTGGTCTTCAATAAGTACACCAGATCTTTGAAGGCTGGAGCAACCAAACAGCTGCTGCTCCTTGGGCCCAAACATCACACCAATCCGCCTGGCGCCAACCCGTCATCAACCCATAAGGCAACGGCTGCAGCATTGTGCAGCCGTGGACACGGACAGCGCCAGTGCCTTGTTTCCCTCCACGTTCTGGACAACTTCAAAGCCCCTTTTAAACCTCGGTGCAACTGTTGGTCACCTGTTGGTTGATGCAATTCGGCGCCCATTCTACTGGATCTGAGGAAACTCCAATACTTGATCGGCCAGCGTTTCTTGATCTGGGCTTGGCACTACTGATCACTGCCTTGTGCTCACCCCGGATCATAAAACATCAATCGAAAACTTGGAAAAAAATGTGTCTTTTGGGTGGGCATTGGTAAACCATCCTGAATAGGTTGTTGCTTCAAATCATTCGAAATAGGCTTCTAACTTAATTAACTTATATGCCCACAAATTGGGGATTTCCTTTAATACGCTCATAATCAATCATCCCATATTCATGTTTTCCCATAATCCAAGAATTGAGACAAAACATATCTTTTGGGTTTTCATAGACTTTGGGGCCCCATAATTTATAGTCCAAGAGGGATCCCATATCAGACTTGTGGCTTTTCCCATAGCAACTCTCTGGGAAAACCGGGAAAACGGACTCATCCAACAGGATGCGCTTGGTACTCTCCGTGACATTGTGCGTGGAATTCATCGATGGAAAGGCCGGGGTGATCACCGGCATCACCTAACCGTTTGGAAAAAAAAAAACGATGTCAGCCACTACAGGATGTGTGGTTGTTCTTGTTGATGTTCAGGTCCGTGGTTTTTCCAAGGGTCTTGATGAAAACCTCCATATTAACGGATTGATCGGGGAAGTTTATGGGAATCATGGTGTTTACCATGAAAGTTTTTCCTGCAAAAAAACTAAGGAATACAGGGGTATGGGGCAACATGACCCCGGTTGGTGGTATATTGAAGGATGGTTTCTTAGTAGTTGTGCCACATTACCAAAATATTTGGATGGTCAATGCCGAGAGGTCAGGTTCGAATTTCTTTCTGTTTCCGGAAGCTTGCATTGTTACGTAGATTATCCAATAATGCAATGTTTGTATATCGAGTCAGGGTGTCTCTTCCCATATTTGGATATGCTGGGGTCTGGCTAAAAAAATGGGGCCAATAACTGGATGATCAGCGCGAACACTTCACCGAATCCCAAGGGTCGTTCCTTCTTGTTTTCGTACCATATTTGGGAATCCGTCATTTACATCTGATTTTTCAAGCTATAAACCTCCATTTACACAGATTTCCAAGCCACAACGTTTGATTACCAGAGAGTATATCCATTTTTATCACGTTATTTTCCCTACAGAAAGGGAGGTTGTGGAGGGCTGGTTTTTACGGTGAAAGAAACACTGGAAAAACATTTGAATATAACAAAAAAACGAGAAAAAAAAAACATCGTAAAAATCAGCCCTCCACAGGTCCCACTCTCTATCCCTATTAAACCCCAAAAAACAATCGCCATCATCATGCCATCTTCCCTGGGTGCTCGGCATGTTGTCTGTCCGCCGGGTTCGTCTTTGGGTTCCACACCTGCGCAAAAAGCGAGACCCGGAGACCAAGAGGAATGATCTGATGGTTGTCATGCGGGGGAATGCATGTGTGTGTTAGCTATGTGTGTGTTTTTTATAACCCTCAAAATAGCTAGAAAAGTCATCTAATACATACATACATAATATGCATATCTATATATATATATATGTATGTATGTATGTATGTATGTATGTATGTATGCGTGCATATATATATATACACATTTCATTATTTATTTATTCATTTACTTATTTATTTGTTAATTTATTTATTTGTTCATATTTATTCACATTTTTCATAGTTATTCATATTTATTCATATTCATTGTATATGTCATTAGTTTAGTCAGATTGTAGACCTGTCTCTTTTTTGCAATGGAGATCTGGTCAACTCAGAACGCGCCTTGAAGGCCGACATGCCTGGAACCGTGGCCTGACAGCTGGCAGATGTTTCCAGATGTGTCCATTATGTATATATACCATCTGGTTATTTAACATGGCCATGGAAAATCACCAGTTTTAATAGGTAAACCCAGGTAACCCATCTATAAATGGGCCATTTTCCATGGCTATGTTAAATAACCAGAGGGTATATCTACTGGTTGGTGGTTTTAACCATCTTGAAAAATATTAGTCAATGGAAAGGATTATCCCATATATCATGGAAAATAAAATTCATGTTTGAAACCACCAACCAGTATATCATATCTAACGGATATGTGTATATTCATCCTGAAGTAGATAGAATATAGCATTTTTAAAAATAATCCCAAATTAGTGATGATATTTTTAAAAGTAGATGTTTAATGACTAACTATCCTGTGGGAGATGATGAAATTGCTCAACTAGATTGCAAGAAATGAAACCGACAATTATCTTTATCCAACTGACTAGACAATGACTAAGTAGCAGTTGGATAGATTCAACTAGTGGAGAATAAAAGTATCATTTATTCTATCCAACTGATGGTGGTTTCATTTTACTAGGACGAGTTCATTGCATTTCATGATGGTACTGTTTTTTTCTACTACCATGGACCATGCGTCTCATAAGCTAGGTGTCCTGCACGTGTGTGGTTTTCCTCTTTGGCGCCTGGCTTATATGAACGTCTGGCAACATCAAGAATAGAAAAGTACTATAATCCATAATAGTACTGATTACCCTATTATATTATCCATACATCAACATTATATTCAACATAGTACTGATTACCCTCTGGTGATCGAACGTGACTATGGAAAGTCACCGCTGGATGAATGGGTAAATCATCGAACTTTCTATGGGTCATTTTCCAACCATCTCTTGGAGATGCAGCTGGGGTTAGGCCTTTTTTACAATGGTAACCTCCTCAAGTCTCAAGTTGGGACACAACCCCAAAAAAAAAAATGATTACATACATGCACACACACAGACACACTTATATATATATATATTATATTATATATATATGCAGATAGAATCCACTGAGTTCACTTGGTTCACTGACTTCCCTGCACCCCCAATATGTTGACCGGGTTTCCCGGGCTGGTTCCAAAATGTCACAGAGCGTTACGGGTCGCGCCCAGTTCCACTGCCACTGGTGATACAGCCGAAAGAACCTGGACGGCCGCAAGAAAGGGCTGGAAAAATCGCGACTCGGTTCACCAAATTTGGCGGAAAAAGTTGGAAAATCCCTAAGAATCCCTAAGATGTGGTTGAAAATCCCTAAGATGTGTTTACTCTGAGCGTATCCTCCGGTATCAAACGCTGGCTGGGGAAATCTCTGAAACATGCAGATTTTTGGACCATTCCTCGAAGTAAATGTGGCATCTTCCAGCCATGGAAATGATGGCCAGAGGGTAGATGTTTTACCGGTGAAAGATGGGATTTTACGAGTGCCAGAGAGTGGAACCCCTGGAACCCCTGGAACCCCAACCACCGGCTCTGTGAAACGATGGATCAAAAACGCGCCTGTTCACCAGCTGATTTGGCGCATAGTAGGGATATAATTGGCCTGCTGGATTTCGATCACAAAGCAGACTGATCTGATTCTGGACAGTGATTCCCAATCCTAACTTTAGTTCAGCCAAGTTTGGATGTTTCGGCCATTTTAAAGTATCCTCAGTATCCGTATTATCTGCTGGCTTCAAGCCATCTCAAAGATATGTGTCAATGAGGATTATCATCCCAGTTATGCCTGATGTTTTTCCCATGTCTGATTTTCCTCAATGATAATGATCATCTGGCTAAGTTAGAATACCGACCCACCGACCTGAAGAAATGTCAAAAAAAGGGATGATAAGCTGACTAGCTACCCTATGGTAAACGTTTACATCACTACGGAAAATCACAATGTTTAATCAAAAAACTCACTATAAATGGTGGATCTTTCCATAGTTATGTAACAAATTACCAGAGGGTATATACAATCTATGTTTCATTGGTAAGTTGTGCCCGCAACATCCAATGCACTGCACTCCGAACTCAGTGATCTCAGTGTCCCGGCAGATCCGTGCAACCAGCAAGGACCAGGTGATCCTCAGAAATGCAGCGCGAATGGCATAGATCTTCCCTGATCTCAATGGATTGGTTTAAGGGATTTTTTTAACCGGAAAACCCCATACTTAATGGGAAAATTGATGGTTTCCGGTTAAGATTTTCCCTTAAACCAATCCATTGATGATCTGGTTGGTGGTTGGTTTCTACCCCTCCGAAAAATGATGGAGTTCTTCAGTTGGGGCCCGATGACATTCCGAAAATATATGGAAAGTTATAAAATTCATGCTCCAAACCACGATGTTCAGGTTTTTTCTTGGTTCATCCCCCATGTTGTCGAAAAATCGGGTGTTCCATTGATTTTTCCATCGGGTGTTCCATTGGCTTTCCTGGGTTTTCCAACCCGCCGAAGAAGCCCACGATGTTGGAATAGATGCCTCTTCTTCTCGCCCAATACCTGGTCAAAACCAGGCCAGGCGTCTCACTACCGGCAGGAAGCCCATGGGAAAAAAGCCTCCAGCAATGACGTTTACAGCCTCTACTATAGAAAATAGAACTTGCTTTCATGGGTAAATCATCTATAAACATCTGTCAACCCACTTTTCATAGGTAAATCATCGAACTAAATTAACCAATTTTCAATGGACCATCTGTACAGCAAACTGCCACCAATTACCAGAGGGTAGGGTCAGTTTTTGGAAGCCCCAAACAATTTTGAAGGTTTCAGAATCCAAACGCATCATTTCGTACACCCCAAAATAAGCGGACTGGTTTAATACTGCGGATGGTTGCGAAATCCCGCACCAGTTGATAGATGGTAAACATCCCATTATTTTGTTCGGGTTTCAACCATCCTTTTGGTGGTGCAGGATTTCGCAACCATCCACCATAGGTTTTGGCTTGATGCATCACCAGAATGACCAAAGGGGGGGGCACTTGATGAATCGCAGCGTGCGACGGAAGGTCTCCTATCACCGTTCTGCCAAGACAAAAAGAATACCCTCTGGTTATTTAACATAGCTATGGAAAGTGGCCCATTTACAGGTGATTTTCCCTGTAAGACTTCCATTTATAGTGGATTTTCCATGGCTATGTTGAATAACCAAAGGGTATATACCATGTTCATCCATTATATAGACTTCTATTTTCAGAAAATCAGACGCATCGATCAAAACCATTCAAAACTCCCCAGAAAATCCAATGGATCAGGCTGTGATTGCCAGGCGCATCATTCTAAATCCCTATCCCACCATGAAGAACACCTCAGAAACCATGGTTTTTAATTTCGGATTTCCACATATTTGGGATCATAGTACCCTCCAGAAAAAACTCACATAGCTTTTTATATAGAAATCACCACTGTAGCTAGATCAACGATTTCTATGGCTGTGAATTACAGCATTTTTTCACTTTTTGAACCGATGTTTTGCCTTGATGAATGGAAAAAACGCTGGTATTTACGGCCATGTTCCGCCCATGTTCCGCCATTGTCCATAGCTATCTTAGTTACCCTCTGGTAAATTAACAGTTTGCTATTGAAAATGGCCATAGAAATAGTGGCTTTTCCCATGAAAAATGGTGGTTTTCCATGGTTTTTTGTATGTTTACCAGGCCGGGTAGTTCCCAGGTCCTGGTTTGGCACCAGCCTCAGAATCTGATCCGCGACCTCGATCGGGATGGATCCGGTGTCAACATAGGGACACCCTGTAAATATGATGTTTAATGTCAACCCGGATTAATAAACCATGGTTTATTAGGGGGGTACTCCTCCAAATAGTCACTTTATATGATACCTTAATACGTACCCCCCAATTAAACTGCCGTAAACGGGGGTTATTAATCCAGGGTTGACATTAATGGACAAAAAACATGTGTAAAAGGGTGGATCTTCCAGCCATGCTATGGAAAACCCTCTGGGGTCACCATCCAATTATCAAAAGATTGGACGCTTCAAGAAATGTACGGACCATAGTGACCCTCTGGTAACTTCGAGAATCGAAACACTATCACATCAACTACCCGGCCTGGTAAACGTTTACATTGCGAACTGGAAAGATCCACCATGTTGAATGGGAAAACTCACTATAAATCACCCATTTTCCAGTTCGCTTTTTCTATGTTTACCAGGCCAAACTCTGGGAGCATCCGGAAGGCCAAATCGCCTGGCGTCCAAGGAGCCCGGAAGCCGTTCAAACATCGAACCTCGCTGCAGGACCCGGGTGGCTTGGTGGCATCGCCCATCCACCCCCCTGGTCATCAAACATTCAATGGATTGGTTTTGTTGGGAAAATGTTCACCGGAAAGCCCCAATGATCTTCATGGAAAAATCGATGGTTTCCGGTGAAGATGTTCCCCAACAAAACCAATCCATTGAAACATGGCTGGAAACTCCCGCACCAAAAAAATGGAAGTTGTTTCATGTGAAAATCATCGAAGTAATCGAAGTAAATGGTGGCAACACAAGAGCCACGTGGGGTATGCTATGCATATCAACCAGGGATCCTGGATCCTCCCAATTTTGCATCATTTGTTTCCCAAGGCGATGCGAAAAAATCGGCAAGGTTTGGGACGCTCTTTTCGTCCATGTTCTTCAGGACCTCGTCTTCTTTCACCACCTGAGCATGTGCTGTCGTCAAACTCGGTGCTCAATGGTGGGTGTCTCCAATTGCAATGGTTGATTTCCAGAGCATCCCCAAAAAAATGCCATTGTTCATAGGAAATATGAGAGTTCACGACTGGCCAAAATCTCAGGATACCCTCCATCCATCTGTATCTACCCTAACTCGAGCATGAAACCCAACAGTTGAACCATATCCACTACTAAAAGCATCTAGCTTGACATCTACAGTTTGGTGTGTGTAAACCATTCTCTCACGCACAAGATGTCATATCCCATGCGAGTATTATACTAGATTATTTCTACTACATCCTATGGGAATCATCGTCCTCTGGTCAGCCCCACTTGTCAAATCCCAAACTGTTTGATGGTTAAAACCCAATTGTTTAGTCGTCAAGCATCCCCTTGTTTACAATTAACTCCCCATGAAATGAGTTAAGACCAAAGTCCTAGGGGCCAAACATCCCATCTTCGACACTTAATCCATATAAATAACTAATAATACTAATATGCCCCTGATATTTACCCAGGTCTCCATTTGTTCAACCACAATTTTCAAACTTCCCAGCAAACCCCCAGAAGTGGTGCAAAAAAATACAAACTCTTCATGGTTAAATCCCCAGGGATTTAAATGTGCTTCAATCTCCAAATGTTGATAAAGCATAAATCACCAGTTTTTATAGCAGAACCCCAATGTTTTCATTGGTAAAAACCCAACTTTTCATGGTAAGAACCCAACTTTTCATTGGTAAAGTCCCAACTTTTCATGGTAAAGTCCCCCATTTTTTCATGGCGAACTGCCAAAAAAAAATTGATGCATCGCCCCCCTCCACGGGAGACATCGACGCCAGGCGCCTGCTCCGCCACTTCGGCTTCGGGGGCTCGGGCCAGGCGGGCAAAGAGCAGATCGATGCCTTGGGGTACATAACATGTTATACTTTTCATGGCTTATAACGAATCAGACAGACAGATAGATAGATAGATATGTAACTTCTATCTTGGTGTATATTTAACTTCTATCTACAGTAGGTTCATAATTATGTCTATACTGGTGTAGGCTATATGTTTTCCAAGATGTGGACGATCTTTCAGATGTCTCTCTCTCTCTCTCTCTCATGTGTGTCTGTAGATGTGTATGTGTATATATATATGCGTGTGTGTGTGTGTGTGATTATGTCTGTGTGTGTGATATATTATATCCATATAAACTGTTATGTTGTAAATCGTATTCATGCGACTGTTTGTGAAGTTCTTTCGCTATGCATGGTTTGATAAACACAGTCATCAACAGTCATATCCCCAGATTCATTGATATCAACCATCCACTGGACTGAAGAGAAAACATGACCTTGGAATACCTTGGAATCACTGGATCACCAAGAGCCTGGTGAAAAAAGCTCCCAGAAACCTGTGATGCTTACGCCAGCGAAAACAAATCAAATTGATTGGTGCGACACAAAATCAACTCCCGCAAATGATGTCAGAGGTGGAAGAGTTTTGTTCGGGCGCCTCATTCAAGGAGTTTTTCCAAGTGGCAGCGTCCAACAAAAACCCTGACTTTGGTGAAAGATGGGATGGCTCCAGAAAGAAATCAACATCATCAACCAGTTGAAATGACAAATACCTCTATATCCTCTATCCTCTCTATCTCATCACGTGGTGGATGTTCCCCACGCTCTCAGATCCGAGGTCGAAGCATACACCTCTCATTTTGAGTTTGATGATTGGAGTATACCTCCCGCGATGCCGATGCCATACCCGGCCTGGTAAACATACAATAAACTATGGAAAGATCCACCATTGTTCATGGGTAAATCCACTATAACTATAAATCACCCATTTTCCAGTTCGCTTTTTCTATGTTTACCAGGCTGGGGTAAATCTGGAAGCTTCGCAGAACCCACCCCAGGGAGCACGCATCTGGAATCGGCACGCATTCACTGACATCCTCCTGGCATGCAGAAAATTGGCCGTGACCGGCCAGCTCCGAAAGGCAAAACTGAGGTGGACGGACGTGCTGCTCCAGTAGGGCTGCAAACCTGATCTGTCATCGTTTTTGTTGGGACTTTCAAACGGAGTGTTGTCTGAGGTGGAAAGGCCAAGAAGTAAAATAGTAAAACACTGGTTTCTGGTTGGTGGTTTCAACCCCTCTGAAAAATATTATATAGTCAGATTGGATCATCATCCCAACTATTGGGGAAAAGTAAAAATGTTCCAAACCACCAACCAGCTTTTCATTGCTTTTCCTGGCTCTTGGTGTTCATAGTCTGCATATCATGAAATCGGCGGAGCTGCGACCAGGGCACGTTGAGAAGAAATCTTCGCGTCGGATGAAGGGCCTGATCTGGTGCTGGGAGCCGTGCTTCTTAGTTGAAGGCAGCTATGGACTATCACCATTTTTTATCGGTAAATAGATGTATATAAATAGTGTAAAAGATACAGGTGAGTATAGAGGTCAATCATGGCAAATCGTCTGTGAATAGGAGATTGGGAATGAAGGCAATCGAAAATCCCCGAACTAAATGGAGGGTTCTATATCATGGCAAAGTCATTGAACTCCATTTGCAAGCCATGTGCCATTGAGGGTATCATCGTCCCAGCTTTGCTTGGCTGCCACGATCTCTCTGGAAAATCATGAGAATATATGGGAATACATAGGAAAATATGACAAATATTGGGAAATGATCGGAAATATTAGGAATGGCCCATTGATAGATGATGTTATTGTTACTTTAAGGGTGATTTTCCATGGCAAACTGAGAGCTTCCCGTCCCGCATCTGGTCCCAGTTTGGTCCTTTCCTGTTGTCTTCTCATCTGGTTGGTGGTCCAGCTTCCCAAAAATATGTGTCAAGAAGCATCATCCCAATTGGAACATAAAAATAAAGTTTGAAACGGCCTACTACATGTCAATACATGCCAAACTAACATAACTATGGAAAATCACCATCTTTCATGGGAAAATCAACTATAAAAGACTATAAATGGCCATTTTCGATAGCTATTTTGACATAACCAGAGGGTAAATGTGGCCATGAAATGCCATGAACTTCCCAAGACATCCCCCAGCGATGTGACGCGGACAGCCAGGACCAACGTGACCAACGTCGAGGCGCGGAGCGATACAAAGGGTGTCAATGTCGCTGCCAGGATGGACAACGCCAAGCCTCGCTGTGAGGTCCCCAATGACTCGACTCCCCAATGACTTCGCCAACGTTGATGCTATGCTATGCTATAAACCATGCTATAAACCATCAATTTATATGGCAAAAATGGCTGGTGACATTGACATTGCTTACTAACATTAGATTACCATATTACATCATATTACCCTCTGGGAAACATGCAAAAAACTATGGAAAATCTCCATTTTTCATGGGTAAATCAACGATTTCGACTGGGCCATGGCTTCAATAGCAACATGTTAAATTACCAGAGGGTTTTTCTATCCCAATTGGACTATCCATATTTTCCCACATCAATTGTAACATACACCACTAACCAGCAACATGTTAAATTACCATAGATTTTATCCTCTGGTAGATTAACATAGACCCTGAAAATAGCCATTGTTTAGTTGAAACTCATCTTCCAACCCCGATGACTGCCAGGGTCTATGGAGGGTATATCCCATTAATATCCCATTGAATCACTATAAAATCCCATTAAATCACTATAAAATACCATTTTCAATAGCATTTTCCTGCATCCTCGTTGAAATGGCCATAGGCCATCAATCAGCGGCCTGTAAGATCCCAGAGTTGTAATCTTCACCGTTGACCTGCCATTCGCTTCGCTTCCGTGGCATCCCCAGGGGAGGATGCGATGCGATGCGTTTATCAAGCGTTGGGTGGCCATAATTTTATCAATAGCAATATCATCAAATATCAAAATCATATCCAAAAAACATCAAATATGGCAGTGCGTCAAAACCTTGTACCCCTGGTGAACATCCAAATAGCTGGTAAATGGATGTTCATCCCACTAAAATGGTATTAATAGGTATTGACCCATACCCATATCATAAATGGCAATTTTATTTAGACATCAATATTACATCAAATATGAAAATGGATCGAAGACTTGGGGCTGCTACTTCTTGATCTCTTCCTCTGGAATGTTCGCATCTACACCTCGCGGCGAATGAAACTTGACACCGAGGCGCAGCGGACATGGAAATCTCAAAAAAATGGTTCAACCCAGTTACCCGGCCTGGTAAACGTACAAAAAGCTATGGAAAATGACCCATAGAAATAGATGGTTTACCTCTGAAAAATGGTGATGTTCATTGATTTTCTATAGTTTTTCGTATGTTTACCAGAGGGTATAGTCAGTTCACCCCAGTTACCCTCTGGGAAATCTTGAGGCTTCGGCACTGCTTCGACATCCAGTCCTGATGTCATGGCGCATCAATTTTTTTTTTGGATGATGTAATGATGTAAAATGCCTGCCCCCTAATAGAAATACTTGCTTAGACTATCTTAGACTATCTTAACCCTAGTTGAGTATTGGATCTGTTTATTGTGGGGGTTAAAAAAAAGCGCAAGCGAAAGATCAGAACAGCAAGCGAAAACTGAAGATATGACTAAAATGGAGTTTGTGATTATCTGTTTTTATCTCTAGTTTTATTCATATGCATGGATATACTAAATTTATCTATAAATAATTCCACTAAATCTGGATGATATACATCTCTCTCCCTCTCTAACACATCCATTTGATTGCTGGGATTGCCAGAATCCAATTGGACCCCAAAAAAAAATCCGAGCTCCAGGCGTGGAAGAGTCTCTCCAGCTCTTGCAGCACTCCCTGCAGAATCTGTTTGGATCATCCCATGGCTAGAAAATCAGCCAAAAACGACATACCCGGCCTGGTAAACATTACCAAAAGCGAACTGGAAAATGGTGATTTCGTTCGTGGATTTTCCCATTAAAAATGGTGGATCTTTCCATAGTTATGTTAGTTTACCGGAGGGTACTGTATAGAGGATGTTCCCTTTTAAAAAAATAACGGCATAAATTAGAACATCAATGAATCTCATGCGACGATAAGTGTATGGTTTTCTTTGATTTATCTGTGATTGTCCCATCAAAAGCTACATGTGGCATGTTCCCATCATGTTTCGTTCAAAAATCGGCCAGTCCCCGCAGAAAGCTCCTGTCTCTTCTCCATCCCTTCGAGGGTCTCGGCGGGAAAAACCATTTCCAGTTCTTCCCTCATCCTGAACCAGGACTGTTTGGTCGAATGGGAGATCCCATGAATCTCCATAAATACCATAAATATCCATAAATACCATCTGGTTATGACTAACATAGCCATGGAAAATCCCTTATAAAATCGTATAGCCATGGAGGTTTATAGCTGGGAAAATCATCTATAAATGTGCCATTTTCCATGGCTATGTTAAATAACCAGAGGGTAATGACTATAGTAATGTTAGCTACTGTTTTATAAATGGTGGTTTTATATAATGACTATAGTAATTTAGCTGCTTTCTGCAGTAGTCATAGTAATGATGGTTTTCCATAGCTATGTTCGTCTACTGCAGAATATCAATGAATAATGTGGGTAAAGCAATGCCATAAACCACCCATTTTTGGGAATGGTAAACATAGCACCTATGGTGATGACTGGGGGATGGGTTATGGCATTGTTCTACCCACATTAAGTGAATCTCCATAAGTCAGTACTTTGGATGAGTCAATGAGTCAACTTGCTTTGGATCAAGTGAAATCAAGTCTCAAAGTTGCATGATAAACTTAGGAGTTCAAGGGGACTGAGTGCATTTATTAGGCATCTAAATCGGCATTTAAGTCTTAAGTGTGCATATATATATATGATCAGGCATCAAACTAGGTGGTCATCTGGGTATGTCCCACAAAAAAAAAATGGATCCGTCGGGTCGGTTTGAGGCTCCCCATATAAAATGACCACCTGAGGTCACCCCAGGGATGCATTTTGGATGCTCAAATAACATCCACCGAAGTGGTTACTGCCATAGCCTCAGAAAAAATAGTTCGATATATACATGAAAATTCCATATGATTCCATATCATGTCCATTGAAAATGGTGAATCTGGAGGTGTCCTAAGTCATGGGGGTACCATGCTTCATCCAAGTCAAACATGACCGAACTATAGTATTTCGCACAACCTATGGTCACTTGAAGATCCCCCATGACTTGAGACCCCCCTACCCTCTGGTAATTTCACATGTGAATGATAGTTGATTTCCCTATTGAAAATGTGTGATTTTCCAGTTTGCGAAGTTTACCAAAGGGTAAAAGATCAAGTGGCACATGGTATAATAATAGTTGGGTGTAATCATATTAATGATCAACTAATATATAATTTATATAATCGTGTAAAAAAATAGTGTAATACAATATCATAATCTGGTTGGTGATTGACCTACCCCTCTGAAAAATATGAAAGTCAATGGGAAGGATGACATCCCATATATTATGGAAAATAAAAATCATGTTTGAAACCACCGACCAGATAACTATAATAAGAATAGTGTATGATACTCAAATAATTATACTTTATGACATAGTATATTATATAATTATAGTATATATATTATTATATCATTATAAACCAGGTTCAATAGTTGGGGCTTAATATATTATATACCTGGTTTATAATAATATAAAGTATATTATAGTTGGGGCTTAGTATATTAGATTATATTAGTATAATATTATAGATTATTATACTATTAATTATAAGCCCCATTTATAGATGGTTTACCTGGGTTTACCTATTAAAAATGGTGATTGTCCATGGCTATGTTGAATAACCAGATGGTAATATCATAATTTATATATTAAGCCCCAACTCAGCACTGGGGACCCTCGAGACCCCTCCCAAAAAAACGACCCGACCCCCGTTTAGGAGCCCTGACCGCTCACTGAGTTCTAAGTCGTGGGCTTCGGCTTCCTGGCATGGTAAATGATGGGTAAATGATGGTAAACTACTGCTGGTTGGTGGTTTCAACCCCACTGAAAAATATTAGTCAAATGGGATTTTTGTTCCCAATATATGGAAAAACAAAAAATGTTCCAGACCACCAACCAGACTGTAATTACTGAAAATTATATCTTTTTGGGGGGGAGTTGCTTACTTTATAGTATCTCTTATAGCCCTGGCTTAACCAACGGCTAGACTCATCGGCTTTTGGTGCCATTTTTGGAGCAGCCATTGGTCCCCTGTTGGATCAACTGCTGTGTTATATCCGGGGGATCTTGGGATTACGGGATCCGCCCGTTGCTGCAGGCCGTGCCTGCAATGAAATGGGGTCAGAGACACCATACCTCAGCAGCTGAAACGCTGAGGTCAGTCTACAACTTCAACGCTTGATAAAATCATATAAAATCCTTGATCCTTGACACGAAAAATCACAACTCGATGTGTTAATTCTTGGTTCCGGTCTGGTTAAATCACTCAGTACCTGAAATTCAGCAGCCACCTGTTTCCCTCTGCGTTCCCTCCCGTCGAGGCGTTGACTTCACGGGAGGCCCGGTCTTTGCCGTGCTGGAGCCGCTCGCGGCGGCAGCACTTTGAAGCCTCAGAGGTTCAAGAATGGTGGTGGCAAACACAAATTATCTATTCAAAACAAGTTTCAAGTCTCTAAAGTCTGAAGTTTTAGCATACCGATCTAAACATATCTATCTATCTATCTATCTATCTATCTAATCTAAGCAGATCTATGTGTTTGTTCTTCATTGATTTATCTGGATTTTTCTTCAGTGCTTTCATCACGCCTTCGTATCTTTCAGATCTCTCCATGTTTTTCCGTGCGCAACAAATCACCTTGTACCTCTTCTGTAAATTCCCCTTGAGCTTTCTGTGTGGCATGTGTTTACCATAGCAAAGTCTTCAAGCTCTTCAGCGTCAAGAAAGTCAAAGTTTTTCTACCGCTGCTATAGTTTGTCAGAAAGGCTACCCAGGGCGGGTGGATTTTTTTTAGTTTTTCCCATTGGAATCAGCGCCATTGTGTAGCGAGCTAGCTGCCCCATCTGTACCACAGCTACTACACCCCAGTGAATCATATTATTGTTGGTCAATGTTGGTCAGAAAATCCATGTCCCCAAGACATTATTCCCCACAAATGTGGGCAACCCAAAACTAAACCTACACCTTTGGGGATGTTTTTAATATCACCCATTGATCGTCATGGTCGAGATTGTTTCTCATGGGGGTTACCACATGATACTCTAGGATAAACTAACGTAGATGTGGAAAATCTATGGTGTCCCCTCAAAATCATCTAGAAAATTGCTGATTTGTCACATCCTTGTCAGTTTACTATAGGGACTATAGGGTATCACCGTTCTGCAGTTTCGACATGTCCGGCCATCGGCGACTGAGGCCACGACGCGACTTGACTCATTGACTCAACGCCGGGCGCAGAGGCGCCAGGCGTCTCCGAGCCAAATGGCACCAGCGACTGCGGAGACAACGGTTGGCACGACATCACCAACTGGCGCTGTGATTTTTTTGGCACAATTTCTGTCACCAAAGGACTGGGCCCGGTGGTGACCGTATCAATTTGAAACAAACCCCTAACTGTCCCCAACTCCAAAATCACTCCCTTGCAAATATTGATCGGGCATCAAACCGCTATCCCCAATCACACCACCACAAAGGCCCCAACACAAGCAGGACTTTTCTGCTCGCGGCTGTGAAGACTTCTGGTCACGACTGGCCTGATGGCTTGTAGACTCTCAGAAGTAGTTCTCAACGAAAGGCAGGGGTGCCAGCACCTCAACATCATCAGCCTCAGCCGTCACCGTCTTCATCTCCTTTGGTCCCTCAGGCACGCGCTTGCAAACGATGCTCTTGCCTTCCTTCTTGGCCTGTGCCTTCTTCTTGTCATTCTCCTTCACTCGCTGCAGGAAAGCCTCGTTGCATCGGGACTTGCGCACGTGCTCAATGCGCACATGGATGCGCTTGCGCAGCTGGCGGTTGCCCACAATCTTGGTCATCTCAACTCCCAGGGCATTGCGGTTCACGTTGAAGACAATTCCAGTCCTGCCATGGTAGAACGAGTATGGCAATCCCTTCTGGATGGAGGGGTCAGCGACAATGTCCACATAGTCTCCACGCTTGAAGTTCACCAAGTACCTTGCCAAGCCAGGTCTTCCCTTGGTCCTGTACTTCTTGGAATACTTGTCACGAGTGCCATGTCGGTAACCCTTGGAGATCACACGTGTCTTTCCCATGGCTGCAAATTAGCGCCCTCACAAGTGGCCAATCGCTTGAGCAGTGAACACCTAAGGCCCACACAGAACATCCGTTGCCTGACTGGCTGTTTCTCCAAGATGAGCTGTGAGTGAACGTGTAGGAATTGCGAGATTGGTCCGAGAGTCATATATGCAGCAGTCGCTCACTAGGAACCTGGATGCGAAAATATGCGCATAGAAATCATAAAATGTCACACTCTGTCACACTATATCAGAGATGCAAGCCGGTATTCAACCCTTCAGTCTGTGCAAATGGACAAATCCACTACCCGAACCATCCAAGCCCACAACAAATTCTAGAAGTGTTCTGTCAGCTTTTTACTCTGCTCGCGGCTGTGAAGACTTCTGGTCGAATGGCCTGATGGCTTGTGGACTCTCAGAAGTAGTTCTCAACGAAAGGCAGGGGTGCCAGCACCTCAACATCATCAGCCTCAGCCGTCACCGTCTTCATCTCCTTTGGTCCCTCAGGCACGCGCTTGCAAACGATGCTCTTGCCTTCCTTCTTGGCCTGTGCCTTCTTCTTGTCATTCTCCTTCACTCGCTGCAGGAAAGCCTCGTTGCATCGGGACTTGCGCACGTGCTCAATGCGCACATGGATGCGCTTGCGCAGCTGGCGGTTGCCTACAATCTTGGTCATCTCAACTCCCAGGGCATTGCGGTTCACGTTGAAGACAATTCCAGTCCTGCCATGGTAGAACGAGTATGGCAATCCCTTCTGGATGGAGGGGTCAGCGACGATGTCCACATAGTCTCCACGCTTGAAGTTCACCAAGTACCTTGCCAAGCCAGGTCTTCCCTTGGTCCTGTACTTCTTGGAATACTTGTCACGAGTGCCATGTCGGTAACCCTTGGAGATCACACGTGTCTTTCCCATGGCTGCAAATTAGCGCCCTCACAAGTGGCCAATCGCTTGAGCAGTGAACACCTAAGGCCCGCACAGAACATCCGTTGCCTGACTGGCTGTTTCTCCAAGATGAGCTGTGAGTGAACGTGTAGGAATTGCGAGATTGGTCCGAGAGTCATATGCAGCAGTCGCTCACTAGGAACCTGGATGCGAAAATATGCGCATAGAAATCATAAAATGTCACACTCTGTCACACTATATCAGAGATGCAAGCCGGTATTCAACCCTTCAGTCTGTGCAAATGGACAAATCCACTACCCGAACCATCCAAGCCCACAACAAATTCTAGAAGTGTTCTGTCACCTTTTTACTCTGCTCGCGGCTGTGAAGACTTCTGGTCACGACTGGCCTGATGGCGTGTGGACTCTCAGAAGTAGTTCTCAACGAAAGGCAGGGGTGCCAGCACCTCAACATCATCAGCCTCAGCCGTCACCGTCTTCATCTCCTTTGGTCCCTCAGGCACGCGCTTGCAAACGATGCTCTTGCCTTCCTTCTTGGCCTGTGCCTTCTTCTTGTCATTCTCCTTCACTCGCTGCAGGAAAGCCTCGTTGCATCGGGACTTGCGCACGTGCTCAATGCGCACATGGATGCGCTTGCGCAGCTGACGGTTGCCCACAATCTTGGTCATCTCAACTCCCAGGGCATTGCGGTTCACGTTGAAGACAATTCCAGTCCTGCCATGGTAGAACGAGTATGGCAATCCCTTCTGGATGGAGGGGTCAGCGACAATGTCCACATAGTCTCCACGCTTGAAGTTCACCAAGTACCTTGCCAAGCCAGGTCTTCCCTTGGTCCTGTACTTCTTGGAATACTTGTCACGAGTGCCATGTCGGTAACCCTTGGAGATCACACGTGTCTTTCCCATGGCTGCAAATTAGCGCCCTCACAAGTGGCCAATCGCTTGAGCAGTGAACACCCTAGCAGGCCACTACATTTTTAAAGACCAGCTCAGGAGTGTCAAACAACATGGGTTTGTCTGCAAATATCGTATGCCTAAATCCCTTGATTGATTATCATAATCCAGAATCCTATGAAATCTTCAGGTCACACCTACATGGTCCAGACCGGTTCCCATAAACTTCAGTTTTTTGCCGCTGGAATGGCACGTTCTGAGCTGCTTCTTTGGCACATGGTCATCTCGTAAGGCAATACTGAACCTCAGCAACGTGGAGAATCTCTGCAGGACCCTGTATGAAAAACCCACTCCACTTGGCTTTTGAGAGCGAAAAATCTCAAAAAAAAACTATGGGTGAAACTTGGTGTTGACATGCTTTCATCCGCGTTTTACCATCATTTCAACGGATCTTTTTGAATTGAAGAAACATCAAAAAAAACATGGGACATTGACAAAAACATACAAAAACCATCGAATGTCCTAAGTTTCCTGGAGATTTTTTGTTTGGGTTCCTCAAAAACCATGGAATTTTGTCAACAACCATCAAATTCCCCGGATTTCTGGGTTCCTCCAAACGCATCCACCGGAATGTCCGGCGGAGCGAGCCCAGCCACGGCCGACATGTCGTTCTGCAGCTTGGGCGTGAGCTTTGCCGAGTCTGCTAAGGCTAGGCGACTCCACCTGCGCCCAGCAGAGCCTTCCCCAAATGACACCATTAATGGCAGTTAATAGTGGTTAATGGATGTTAATGGTTGATAGTGATGAAGAGTTATGGCAGTTATGGTTGGTTGATAGTTGTGCATCAGTATTCATGGTAACGGCTAATAGTGGTTGATAGTGGTTGATGGTGGTTATAGGATATATATATATATATAGAAGAAGAAGAAGAAGAAGAAGAAGAATAGCTATTCATGGTTTATATATAGTGTTGATTATTCATGGTTAGTAGTGGTTTCTTATCATCCCGTGTTCATATTCAACCCCAAAAATAGAATGGAATAATCTAGGGGATGAGACAACGACTGGAACCGTAGGATGGGCTGGTTTCATCCCCATCCGCCATGGTGACTGGGGGGTGTTGATATGGTGAACCGCGGGGATCGGTTCAAAGATGACGCTTAAGTCAAGGCCCTTAAGTCTCAAGCGATCTGAGGCATGATGCGGATGGGGATCTCTGATATGGTACTTAGATGAATGGAATATTGATGAAATAGCCTTGGGTAATCAAACATAGCCATGGAAAATGGGGCAAAACGGCCACGGACATCATAGATAAAGCATCCACAACTGGATATGTTTCCATAGGTATGTTAGATTACGAGAGCATAACAAGTTTTTCCAAAAATGGGGAGGCCCATCTTTAGAAAATCACTGTTCAACTAGCAACAGCTGGCGTTACCACTACTTGACCCAAAAACAGGTTGAATCACCTGTTCCACAATATGATCCTAAACACAACTCATCCCATTTATGGGGATGGAAAGGCCCCAAACTGACCCATGGCCAGTGTTGACATTTGTTGACTATGCCTATGCAATCCATAAATCCCATAAAATGTTACGCAAGAAATGGTTGGTAATATATTTTTCGGATTGTTCAAGATGTATCTCAAAAACTATACATATATCCCCATTCCGTTTATGGTAAACCCAATGCCATAAACCTACCATTTGGGGATGATTTTTGTACATCCATTTAGATACTGTAAATATTGGGGATTGTTTATGGCACTGGGTGGGTCCCACAGGAATAGGATTAGTAATAGGATGGTTAATAGGCTATTGAACGCAATGATTAGGCTATTTAACCCATCGTGTATGTATGCAAATATATGTATATATATGTGTGTGTGTATTATGATATGTATATGATTCCCCATTATAACTTATAACACATTTTTTTCACAAATATGGTTATGGGTCATACCCCTGGTACCCAAGGTAACCTAAAATAGCTGGTTAATGGATGATTATTCCCCCAAATCTTAAAAAAAGTAGCAATAGGTTCTGACCATTGACCTATCCATACCTATCCCCATATCCCATAACTAACTGGTTGGTGGTTTCAACCCCTCTGAAAAATATTAGTCCCAACATATGGAAAAATAAAAAATGTTCCAAACCACCAATCAGCTATAGTTGACATACCCTACTGCCCTACTGTAGTTGAAACCATTTTTGTATATGGAAATAGTATAGTTATCTAGTTAAATTATCATGTGTAACCCATCAGTTCTATTAGAGTTACCATCTGGTTATTTAGCAGTTCGCCATGGAAAATCACCATTTGTAAGTTCGGTAAACCATCTATTTCATTCTATTTCTATGGGCCATCTATACCATGGCTATGTTAATCATAACCAGATGGTATGTTGGAAATCAATTCCACCACATTTAACTATGGAAAATTACCATGTTTAATGATTTAACTATGGAAAATCACCATTTTTAATGATTTAACTATGGAAAATCACCATCTTTAATGGGAAAACCATCTATTTCTATGGCCAACATCTCCTTAACGTGGCCTGTGACCATAGCACGTCCCGGCCTTCCCAATTCGAGGCGTAGTTGGCCATAGCACGTCTCCGCCCTGGCGCTGCGCAGCACCAGCGTGCTGCCCGGATCGAAACGGGCCTGGGGGGATGGCGGACCCCGAATCTCGGCTGGGAAAAATCCAGCCAAACATGGGAGGATCCTAGGGAAAATCATGGGAAAATCATGGGAAATCTTGGGAAATCATGGGAAAATCCTGGGAAAATCTGGGGAAATTAGGGGAAATCTTGAGAAATCATGGGAAATCTTGGGGGAAATCTTGGGGAAATTAGGGGAAAATCATGGGGAAATCCCCAAAAATTGAGATTTATAGCTGGGAAGTCAATGAAATCCATGGTGGATGCTCCACGCTATCTCAGGGAGATCAAGATATGCGATGAACATGGATGTCCTTCTACCTAAACAGGGGAAAAACTAACCCCCAAAAAAGATAGACTTTAGTAGTATTTATCACTATTCTAGAACTGGATTCTACGGTTGTTTTTGTCTTTTTGGGGGTTACTATATGTCGCACATGTTGACACTAGGCATATGATGCCAACCGTTCACCTCAGAAAAAATCGGCCGAAAAATAGGCATCTGGTGGTTTGACCTGCCAAAAGTTCTCAACTTTGAGTGGGATAAATATGTAGAAATTCTGTTTACCTATGTACCCTCTGGCAATTTTACGTAGCGAACAGGAAAATCATCATGTTTCACAGGTAAATCATCATAAATCATCAATGCGTCATTCTCCATAGCTATGTTAGATAAGCAAAGGGTAATCTAAGTGTATGGCAAACTAAACGTCTGGCTGCAATCCAGAAAATGATGGCTGATGACCAGAAAAATCGAAGGGGACACTCTCCAGTAGATATGAGGAAAAAAAAACATGATATGGAACCTGGAAAACCACAGCGGTTTCCCTAGGAAAACATAATCTATTCAATCGTGGCGTTTCCATATCTAATGTTCACATCGCCGCAATAAATGAGGCGAACCTTTTTGGGATGTACCCTCTAGTAAACGTTTACATAACTATGGAAAGATCCACCATGCTATCGATGGGTAAATCCACTATTTCGACTGGGCCATGGCTTCAATAGCTATTTTGACATAACCAGAGGCTATTTTTCAGTAATTACAGTAGTTTACCATGATTTACCCATCATTTACCCATCATTTTGACATAACCAGATGGTATTTTTTCTTGCTTCATTTGCTGATGGTTTTGAATCAGACATCAGATCCAGGTCCTGAACTTGCCTCCGACAAACTCGCTTAAAGGGGGGTTTGTCGGAACAAGCAGGAACGTCAACAAACGGCATTGTTTGAACCCAAAAAGAAAAAACCGATTCCAAAGATTAGACCTTTGTGAGACATCCCAAGCATCTACTACAAGAAACATCTGGCCAATTAGATGATGGAAGCCATAATTTGGTAGTTGAACCAGTTATGGCCATAGTCAAAATCGTTCGTTTATGGTGAACAAGAAGGGGTAACCATCATTCAGTAACCTTTACTTTGGATAGACGGATAGACCTAATTTGAGACAGACCCGCAAACGGAAAACATCCACTTTCTGGTGGAGGAAACAGCGTTTCATGGCAATGCAAAGGGGTGTTGCCCCAACCCTTCCAATTCCTTACCAACAAAAAGGGAAAAAAGAGAAAGCAGAACCAGAATGTTTTTGGATCAGAAAAGTTCGATCCAAACACCGACAAAATTTCCTGTCAGTCCTGCAGATCAGTTGATCATCATTCTCCCTATGAAAAAATCGCCATTGGATTGTATAACAGGTAAATCATCAATCTGACAGTTTTATCAGCTTTATAATAGACATGATCCCTATGTTTTCAGACAACCCAGATCTGACAGTCCCACGCAATGCGAACATCTAACATCAATTTCTATGTTACATTTATCATCTATCATCTATCTATCTATCTATCTATCTATCTATCTATCTTATCTTATCTTATCTATCTATCTATGTAAAAAAAATGTGTATTATGTATGTAAGTTATATATCTATGTCAGTTATACATTATTTTTTAAATATATATATATATACAGAGAGAGAGAGAGTTATCCTCAAGTCAACATAGAATATGGTGTCAACATTCACCATCTTCCAAATGGTTTTTTTCTTTGAGAAATCTCCGAGAATGTTTGACAGCTCGGAGCCTGTTGCGCTGGCAGGCGAAGAATGACCTCAGGGAGGATGGAAAGTGATGTTTTTGCTCGAAACTTCTACTGGGAGAAGATGGAAATGCTGAAGAAATGCAGGGGAAACTCATGGGAAAACGATGGAACCGATGGCTTTTTGTGGTTGAATTCTTGATCGAAACTCGTGGAAAATGGTGGACAATGATGAAAAATGATAGAAAATGATGGAAGCTGGTGCGGCAACATGGGCCAACTATTCGCTATTCGGCTAGGCCTCCCAACTGTGCCAGTCTCATCCCCAACAGTGACTGAGCTGAACTGCGAGCCGCCCAAACATTGTAAGGAGGCATCGCAATGTAGCACCTGAGGGCAGGGAACCCCCTGTTGGTGGCCTGGTGAAAACGAAAATGGAAGGATGACCAGGCCTCGCATTGGGAGGTGTGTCTGGTACACATTTTTTGCGGGAAAATGATGTAGTTTAGGATTGGATGATTGGCTGTTTTCAGTCAAAGTACCTTTGCAATTGCACAACCCCAGATGAATGCCAACTGTGGTGGATGAATTAGGAGAGTTACCAGCAAAACATGATGATTTGCCAACCGAGAACTAGAAGGATTCCCGCCAAAAAACTGCCCAAAAACGGTCAACATTTCTCCAGGGTGGCCATGACCGGGCTGGGGCTGGTGCCAGGTGGGTCAGAAAGTCCCAGTCCTAGTTGCTTAGTAGCCCTTCGGTTCCTATGAAATGCGGTGGAAAATATGGATACCATCAGATACAAATAGTTCGTAGTTCCTTGGTTCCCTCCTAGCCTAACCAAACAGCCGCGGCCTTCACAACAAGGTCGACGTTCAAAGAATTCGGCGTCAGCTGATCCACTTTGACGAAGTTCGTGGGTGGCATAGGCCCAACCTAAAAATGGAAGCCTAGGTCCCCATGGCGGAAATTGCTACGTCGTCGAAGGGGCGAACTGCGGCGAAGTGATGATTCATGATGGGACTTAACAACTGGTCTGACCATACTTCCCACACTCAAAGAAAACCATGGGGAAGAAGTGCAGTCTGCAAGCACACGACAAATCAAAATAATATATAATTATATATATATATAGTGATAACTTGCAGGTCATGGATGTTTGTGTTTCATTTTGGTGTTTTTGGATTTGCAGCGACCTGAAAAATCACAGCAGCAGAAAAGACAGGATGTGTTTACTCAAGGACCATCGAGGTGAAGATGGCGAACATGGAGAGTTACCCTCTGGTAAACTAACATAGCTATGGAAAATCACCATTTTAAATGGGAAAATCCACTATTTCTATGGCCATTTTCAATAGCTTTTTGTATGTTTACCAGAGGGTAGTTGCTCCAGGCTGCACAGCGGTTCTTTTTTCTGGGCCTTGTTCTCTCTTCACGACCGCAGCTCAGCTGAGCTGGGTGAAACAAGTGAAAAAACATCCACCCTGACAATGCCTTGGAACATGCCGGCGGATATGTTTTTCTGTGGCGAGGCCTGCAACTGTATAAGATTCGGTTCATTTGTAATGTTGGTAAAACAATGTCATAAACCACCCATGACTGGGAATGGTTTATACTGTTTATACCACCTATATATGGTGATGACTGGGGTATGATTTATGGCACTGTAACCAAACCACGTGGTCATTTTTGGTCACCGGGCAAAGGGATCATCGTTCAATTGGTGAGACACTTTGCTGCCCTGAAGAGACTGGGCTGCTCCATTTCGTCAATCTTCACCGGCACTATCCTCCTCCTCATGTGCCGCTCTCTTCACTGGGATCCCTGCTGGGACGATGGTCAGGGTGTCGGCGCACCATTCGAAATCATCCCACGCCATCCAGAAGAGGCCATCGAATTTGCTGCCCGGCTTCAATTCCTGCGCAATGTCCTCGTGAGCCGTCCACTCATCACCTGAGACAGCCCATGAAGTGGATGAGAGATAGTGAAGCGCTAAGGATTCAGATCTCTAATTATATTATATGCATGTTATCCACTTTCTGTATAATAGGCACTTGGTAATTCATGTTAATATATATATATATATTAATACATATCAATACATATTAATACATCTTAATACATATGAATACATATTAATACATATTAATGACATATTAATACATATTAATACATTTTAATACATATTAATGACATATTAATACATATTAATACATCTTAATACATATCAATACATATTAATACATATTAATGACATATTAATACATATTAATACATCTTAATACATATGAATACATATGAATACATATTAATACATATTAATGACATATTAATACATATTAATACATCAATACATATTAATACATATTAATGACATATTAATACATATTAATACATCTTAATACATATAAATACATATTAATACATATTAATGACATATTAATACATATTAATACATCTTAATACATATGAATACATATTAATACATATTAATGACATATTAATACATATTAATGACATATTAATACATATTAATACATCTCAATACATATGAATACATATTAATACATATTAATGACATATTAATACATATGAATACATATTAATACATATTAATGACATATTAATACATATTAATGACATATTAATACATATTAATACATCTTAATACATATGAATACATATGAATACATATTAATACATATTAATGGCATATTAATACATATTATACTATATTAGTTACACATAGTTACACAAATATAAAGCTTCAGGCGTCTTTTCCCATGTCCGCGGCAGGGATCCCTGCGCAGTTTGTGCGCAACAATGATCGCAACACAACGTTGGGCCACTTCCCCGGCATCGCCACAAATTGGGCCACGCTGCTTCTGGTATGCCACTTTTCTTTAAAAAGAGGTGCTTTTCTAAAATCATTGGGAAACTAATGGAAACTACTTGAATTCGGCTGTCTGTTGGGCTTTTAGCTTGAATTGACATCTTATTGAACGTGGCAACTGCAGCTTCTTTCTCAAAGATCTCAAGGACCTTCCAGGAGATTCACGTTCCTTTCCTCACACAGCCTACAATGCCTACAACCTTGGGGACCACCTCCATACAAACCCCAGATGCTTGAGTATGAAAATCCGCACTCATTCTTAGGTTTGCACACATTATTAGGTCACACACACACACACACACATATATATATATATCTCTCTCTCTCTCTCTCTCAAAGCCGCATCACCCAAAATCTGGGCCGCACCTTGATCTTTCCACGGTCCCTGCCATTCACAGCGGCCCCAGGGATTCCTCAGGCAGACCATCCGCTTGGGCTCCTCCCAGATCTCCCCAGGAACCTCCACGGCACGCAGTACCGAGTAAACGTGGCGCGGCATCAATCCATCCGGGCGCGTGCCATAAAGGGGTCGGCCCTTGGCATTCACACCTGGTTTTCGGGATTTTCGCGTTTTCAGCTGGAAAATGCTGGAAAAAATGGGAAAAAAATGCAGTGAGAAGCCATGCCCTGCATCCACTGGGATTGTTTTCCTGTTTTCAGCTGGAAAAAATGAAAAAAAAACACCTCCCATGGCACCTTTGAACTCAAAGTTCACTACAATGAGATCATTGGCTTCATCTGCTGTGACCAATTTACTCCACATGTCACCCTCCATGGCCTTCACATCTTCCTTCCTGGGTAGAAACGGCCCCAAACGTCTGTGGAAAAATCGTGGAAAATCGATGGGTTCCCCAAGTCTGAGTGATCTTCACCATTCATTTGCTGGGAAACAACTCACCATCTTCACGTTGGATGCACTAAAACATGTTGGATTCACCAATTGGAAAATGATGCCAAAGAAAACCGAGATGATCACTTGAAGGAAGCGGCTCCAGCGTATAGGAAACCACTTGCAGCCCCAAGTCTTAATCAAATCCCAAACTCATCCCCCAAAGTGGAGGCAGGAAGAAGACCCCCATCCTCCCTGTACTGCCCCCACTTTTGGGACCCCAAAACATACGAAACCACGGCTTCGGGGATTTCATATTGAGAATGGGATTATTTAAAAAAAAAAAAGCATCTGTTGGTTTCTTAGGCCATTGGGGATCCCCAAGTCACCATTGGGGGTTCAGTACTAAAGCTCGAAGGACTTGGGTGACTTGGGGACACACCCATGACTTGGGAAACCCCTCAGCAACTCGCAGCTTCTTGTACCGCTCTCCAACCTTCGTGCTGCTGAAGCCCCACTGCACAGGCGTCTGGCGTTCTGCGGCCTTCTTGCCGGCACGGTAGTAGGAGATCCAACCCGACTCCGGACCCTCGCCCTCCAATTTCTTGAAGAAAATGCCTCAGTGATTGGGTGGCAAAAATAACATTTCAACATGTAAGAAAGACTCAAGGCTCAAAAATAGCACTGATTCAACTCTCAAAATCTCAGATTGGAGTCCGAGGGAAAATCGATATCGATGAGACCCCATTACAGCCAACGAAAAATAACAGGTCAATTGGGTCCCATAATTTTGTTGAACCAATTCCTGGGATCTCCAAAAATCTGGGCGAATTTGGACTGCACCCCCCAGGGGGCCGTTCAGCCCAGCTGCGGTAGCCCTCCCGGTCCAACTCCTCAAAGACGGCATGCCTCGCCAAAACGCCCAGCTTGGTGCTCTTCAGATCGCTCTTCACGCGCACGGTCAAGCCCTCCCGCGAGGTGACTTGCCACTTTACCGGAGTGCCACTGGAAGCCTTGCCAAAACAGAACTGTTGGGCAGCAAAATAGTGAAACCCAACAAAAAAAGGATCCAAAAAAAAGAAAACATGCCTTTTGAAACATGCAGATTCTTTTAGTGTTTCTCGGTTGCCAACAAATTGGACTCCGATTGCCTTGGTCAGGGCCTTGGTGTTCCCCAGGTGGGTTCCGTAGCGGTGTACCTCCATACAACCCGTCAGAGCAGCAAAAGCCATGGCGGTGTCGCCGTAGTGCAACTCCTGCCGCGATGTAGGATCCACCCCAGGGACCGCAGAAAAATTTGGCAGACATGCATGAACCATCCAATGTTAGGGTAAGTTAGGGTTATCTAATTTTGGCCCATATCCAATATCACCAATATCTATAGCAACCCCAAAGGGGGTCTGACTATGATTCGTAATGTTCTAATGGATCAAAAAAAAATCCTGGCAGTGAGATCCAATTGCAACTTTGGTCCTCAGGGAATCCCCCCTTAAGAATGTATTGAATCGATTCATGAATTGGGAACCCTGTCATGGATCAAAAGAATTGACATGAATTGACCACTTTTTACATTGCCAATCCTTTTTTGGCTAAGATTCTTCGATATCCTCAAAAAATACACAACAAACCTCAATTTTCGATGATTTTCATACACCTACTACCCGGTCTACCCAGGTCGGTGGTTTTTTTCACCTGGCCTGATAGGAGCCAAACATCTTGGCAAAGGCCTTCTCCAGCAGTGGCACGTACATCTCGCCATCCGAGAAGTCGGCAAAGAAGACTTTCTGCCCAGGTTCATTCTTCTTTCGAGGGATGCACGGAAGGTAGTCATCCACCTGGGCCACATGAATTTCAGCTGACACCCCCAAAACCCCCATTGTACCGCTTTGGTGAACAAGTATGTCCTATCATGGTGTTCTCCGAGGTCCTATGAAACCAACTGCAAATGGTAGTAACCCGCTACTAACCAACCACCGGTCCCGCCTGGATCTGTTTCCAGCTTTGACTGCCTTTCCAGTCGAAGAGTTGAAGCTCATACTTGCCATCCGCAGTGGCCTGCTTGGTGCTGAAGATCTTGTCCTTCAGGTAGTTGGGAAATTCCGCCACAGCTGCGATAGCAGCAATCAACCAGGCATCTCCCAGTTGTCCCTGGCAGGCGTCGGTTGGCTCCGCTTTGTGGAAGAGAACTGGACTGGTGGACAAGGCCAGAGCTCGGACCCACTCACATTCTTCACCTTCAAAGCGCTTGCCCAGGCTTTCCACGGAATGAGGGAACTCGGGATCCTTAGATTTACGGAAGGGAACCATAAAAATGATGGAAAAATGGAAAAATGGCAATGTCTCAAAATTTGGGGTGCCCCAAGTTTTCGATCTTTTCCCATATTTTTTGGAGGACTTCCCCATCGTCATGGAAAAAACAAAAATCACCATGCGGCTCACCAGGAATCTTTCCATCCCTCAGGCACCGCTGTATTGAGACTCTGATCCGGATCAAAGGCGTAGACTTCCATGACCTCGCCGTCGTCCATCCAGATGGCCGCGGCCGGAGAGTAGCCTTGGGTCTTTCCACTTCTCTCCTCACCTTGCCTTGGACGTTTCTCTTGAGAAAGAGCCAAAAAAAATGGAAAAAATCGAGAAATACCCCTTTTCTGGTGAATGGAAACCAGAATGGAACCCATTGGGACAATCAAAAAATTCACCAGCAAAGCTCATCGCCCAAGTTGCGTGTTGTCCTTTTGGTAACTCAACTTCCATTCCTGCAACGGTTCAACGTAAAGCATGAACATCTTGTACATCTCGTTGTAGTACACCGGGCGTCCTCCGAACAATTCATCTTGCTTCATAAAGGTGCCATATTCCTCAGGGCGAGACCACCGATTTCAAATGATGTTCCTAGAAAACACCATTGTGTGGTGAAGCCAAGAAATACTTTTATTATGGTCAGATGGTTTACCATTGTGTTAATACCCTTGATATGGCCTCGTTTGGGTAATTAATATTACGGGGGAGGGGCTAATCATCATAACCACTTCCAATAACTTTATATATATATACATATATATATATATACTCTATACTCTATACTCATTTTTTACCATGTTGAACCACTCTGAACTTCACCGAAGCACTTCACTATGTTAACCACGATTTTGACCGATTTTTACCTGCTTTCTTCCAAATCTCCTTGGTATACATCGCCTTGGGCGCCTTGGCGATCTGCTCCTCGGGTGACTTGGCTTCCGGGCTGCCGCAGCTCATCTCGTTCTCGGTAATGAAGCCGCGACGAAGGCTGTGCTCCTTCTTCTTCCACACCTCGAAGAAGGGACCAGGCCCGTAGAGTTGGCGAAGTTGGGGCTCCCATTTTTTCGAGTTTATGATACATAGATCTATCATGATCTATCGTTCGTGGTGGTTATATATATCTTAATGGTGCTTAGTAGAGAATGGGGGAATGGGATGATTATCCATAGCTATCTTAGTTACCCTCTGGTAATGACTAGCAGTTTGCTATTGAAAATGGCCCAGTCGAAATAGTGGATTTACCCATTGAAAATGGTCTGGATTGGAAACGGGATCGTTAGTGCCCAACTTTTACCACGGCAGCGCGGTATGACTCAAGGGCCCTAAAGCCAAATGTCAACTGGGGCATGTGATCACTTGGCTATACAAAATATACATTATACAGGTCAAACTCACACTCAACCTGTTCTTCAAGGATCACATGATGCTAGTGAAAAAGTTGGCTCTAAGGCTTCTTCTGTACACGGTAAATGCACTCCTGCAAGACGCGGATAATGAGGTCCGGGCGCATGCTCTTGGTCAGAGCATCCGAGACCATAGTCCCTGTAGCAATCCAGGTAACGATGTCTCCTCCGCCATGATGTATGTCCCAGGTCCTCCGGCCGTCTTGCCAAAGTGACTCGTGAATCGACTGCAACTCAATGCCGAGTCGTTTGTCTGCGACCCTGCCAAGTACCTCACTCGCAAGATGGTCTGTTAAAGACCTGCAGTCTGAAAGCATCAGTTGTGGAATGCAGCTGCGGCTGTCATCCAACCATGTTTTCATCGAGTCAAGTTGGCCCATCAGCTCGGCCAATGCTCCACGTAGCTTGTCACCGCTCTCTTGTCCAGCCTGCAGTGAATAAGCTTCGCATTGAAGAGTGCTGCGGCATACTCGCCGAATTGTATTTGATGCAAATCCCAATGGCATCACCCTGTAGGATGTAGTCTTGGGGTCTTTGATCTCATTGATGTCTCCAAGAAAATGGAAACGACCTTGTTGTGATTTGTAGTTCTTCTCATTTGAAAATGAAGCATCTGTTACTGTAATGATACCAACCTCTCCCCAGGTTAGATGTCCACCTGGAAAAATAAGTTTGTTCTCAATGCCTTGTTGTGCCAGCTGTACTACGGCATTTGCATCGTGCAAAATGGCAACTGTTGCTCCAGAAATACAGGCGGATCCTTACCCAACGGCTCGGACGCTGATCTTCCCGGCGCGATCTTGATCGGCTTGATGCGACGGGTGTTGTCACAAGTGTCTTGGGTGATTGTTCCATCTGCAGTACGCTCAAATTGCTTGCCACAATAGCGAAACGAATTTGATTCACTAGATCCCAAGTTGAACTTCTCCAAGAAGCTGTCGATCACTGACTTTCCCTTAGGAATATATGCGTACAAGATGTCATCCACATGAGTCGCCATAAGTGCAACGCAATCCTTGTCGGGTCCCGGAAGAAAATACAATCCTGGATAAAACTTGGATTGTTTCAAGCCACTGGATCGGGCATCTCCGTCCAATCTCAACCAAAAACCTCGACCGCTGTCAGTTAATCCGTACACAGGCACTCTCACAAGGAAAAAGACCTCTGGATCAATTCCCGGGAGACCTCCTCGGGGTTGTCTCATAATGAGGACTCTGTCGAGAGGACGACCTTGGAAATATGCGGATGCGACGTCCGCACTGTGCAATTGTGCACCCTGGATCGCCGCCCAACAGCAAAGAATGTTGTGAGCTTCTGTGTCTGCTGTAGGACTGTCTGATCTCAGACCTTCACTGACTTCGAAATTGCCGCATGACACCAACCGACTTTTGAACTTTGGCACATATTCTTGGTCTGTTCTTCCCTTCATAAATTGGTTCTTATCAACATCAACCCACTTGCTGGGAATACATTGATGCCCTTCTGCAATCAACCTCTCAGCATCTTCTTTTGAAATTTCAACAACAGCAGCGAACTCAAGGAACTTGTTCCACTCCTTGGTTCTGGCATCCATGATGTTCTTCTGTACATCAGGTGGCGCTGATTCATAGTGGATTGATTTCAACACTTTCTTGCCTAACTCCTCGTCCTCAGGAACTCCATCAACTTCCTGGGACAAAAATGATGCAAACAATGCTCGTGCTTCTTGTCGTTCTTCAGGACTTCGTTCTGAGTCTCTCTCGCGAGCTCTTTCAAGATGTGTTCGCAATTGATGCGGCAAGTCATTCAAAAGTTCTCTTCGTAATGGCCAAGATGATGCTGACGGCGAGGATAGTGGTCCCGAAACGGAGCCACTTGCAGTAGAATCAGGCACAAGGGAGTCTCACCGAGATGGCACAAATGATGAGCCTCTCTCCGACTCAGGTTGCAAGTGAGTCTCCACTCGAGGTCTCACGTTGCGTTCATGATCTTCATCTCCTGGACGTGGTCTTTCAACTCTTCTTTCTGGAGTTCTACTTTGTGAAAAGATGTCTTCTTCCATAGGACCTGTGTCTTCCTCCTCCTCATCTTCTTCAAAGAAACCGGGTCGTATGTCCCATTCATCTTCAGGTACTTCTGGTATAGGGGGAAGTGCATTGTCCTCATGGACAACTTCAACATCGTCTGCTTGTCCTGGACCTTCACGAACAACTTCAACCTCATCTGCTTGTCTTGCATCAAGAAACGCTTGTTGACCTGTATCGTTGATGATCTTGTATGGAATCACAGGTTCACCATTCAACACTGATTGAGCAAGAGCCTCAGAAGGAGAAGCAATGCGTATGTTGTGAGAAGCCACAAGTACTGGAACGTTACCACATAGCAGCCATATGTTCTTCTGGTTCTCGTGTCCGATCACTCGGCATGTTGGTGACCAGGACGTTCCTCCTCGTTGATTGTCTCGTCTAAAAGTGACGAGGTCACCAATGTTGAACTCACGATCAAACACACTGGCATTGCGTGTCAACGCTCGTTGAACTCTTCTTGAACAATCAAGATGAACAAAAGCCTTTTGTGCCTCAATTCTGGCCAAGTGTTGTAATGCAAAAATTGATGAAGGATCATGTCGGGCCTGAATGGCTCCGAGCTGCGCATGATCTTCCTCTGACATGAGTGAAGCTGCACCACGGGGAGCTCGACCAAGCACCCACTGAGATGGAGAAAAACCTCCAACACGTGCAGAGTCGTTCTTCACACTAAGCACCTGTGTGATGCACGACTCAACCTGTTCTTTGGTACAAGCCCCAACTTCTGTACACACTCGTCTGAAAAGAGCTTTCAACAAACCACCATGCCTCTCTACTCGGCCCAATGATTCCGGGCTCTCAAGGGGCACATGGTGCACTTGAATGTTGTGTTCATCCATGTATTGTTGCAAGACACCACGATTGTGCAATCCACGGTCACACATGATAGCAACAGGATGTCCTGCCCAACTGAACCAAGGTTTCATGAGTGCGTCCAAACAGGATCGCGAAGAAGCTTGACCTGCTCCAACGTTCACGACCTCGGCCTGTTGAAAACAAGTACCAATGCAAACCATGTTGAGAACTTGATACTTCTGTCCAGTTACATCTGTCAACTCCAATACATCAATCCCCAAAGTGTGGTTGAATGTATAATCACTTGGAAGCGTGACTTTGTGAGTGGGTTTCTTAGCTGATGTTTTCTCACATGTTTCACATCTATGCAACTTTACTGCATCAACAAACTCCTTGCTCACCTTTGCAGCACGCGCCAAATTGACCATCACCGACTTGGGGACATGTCCAAAAGCCCTGTGCAACCTACGCACAGCAATCCTGACACGCTGGGGAAGTTTACGCCAAGACCTACGTCTTTCTGATTCATCCTCTGGCAAACCAGGGATATCAACTTCATCCAAAAGAGTCTCTTCTTGTGTCAGGTCCTCAACCGGATCCTGCAATGCAACATCTTCTGGGCCATCGACTGCATCCCAGTTCCCACCATGTTCCTGAGCCTCTTCAATAATCTCTGCTGGGAAGGCAACGCTCATCTGATCCTCCAGTTCACGCCCAAGTGACCAACCACGAATCCATTGATAAAACTCCCAATTCAAAACGTCATCCAATTGTCGATACATGGACCAGTCTTGAAAACCTTGAATGAGTTCATCATCATTTGACACAAAAGCAAGACCAACTTCGTTGATATGTGGAATCTGTGGTGTTTTGAATGATTCCCATCGTTCAGTGTGTGCAACATCAACAATGAGAAACCTACACCCTGTGGCATCACAATACTGTTCCAACTCAAATACAAGATCCCCATGACACAGTGGATAATGTTCTGACTTGTACTCAATTGCAACGATGATCAATGTGCAACCCTCAAACATGTCACTCCAACCACGTGGCTCAGCATCATCGTCCAAATACGCGGCATTCACGCCAACGTCATAGGTGTGCTCGAAAAGATCCTGGAAAAGGGTCGGATGCGACGTGATGACTGCAACCCCTGAGGTCCCATTGGAAACTTGAGGCTGCATCCCAAGACTGGATTGCATCACACGATCATGGTTGTTGAGATTGTTGATACCTTCCAACACCATCTTTCTGTGTTTCTTGCTCATAGTCCTCCTCTCATCAGGATGGACTGTCAAATCAACGTTGGAATCAAAACGCACGGCCATGAAACCAGTGGGAGAATACTCATAGTCATATTCATAAGAATCGGAATCATCTTGTTCCAACTTGGGCGTCAAAACCTTTGGCTGGGGCTTCGACTTCACTGCATACATTCTTTTGGGTTCTGAGGATTTCATCTCAACTTTTGGATTCAAAGACTTTTCAAAATCATCCCTTACATCCCGAAGTTTCTTGTTGGGGGTCAACTTGACGTGAACGCTCATGTATGCTCCCCTCCCGGAGTCATCGAACACCCCTGGTGGGTGGTGAAACACGACCACGTCAATCCACGAGTTGTCCAAACGCACCATTGTATTGCCATCGACATTGTCTTCGATGAGCTCCCAAGTGCCTCCATTGCGAGGTCTGCACAACGTAGATCGTCTCCAATGCTTGATGCTGTTCGCAACCTTGATGATTC